TCGATAGCGCCTGGTCACTAGCACTCGACATCACCACTCCACTCAGCGTGGTGAATTACTCCTGTATTGACCACTTTCGGGGTGATTCAAGGTCAAGTGGCCGAAATCGGGCGTCTCAGGAAAACCCTTATAACTCATGAAGGGAACAAGCTAGAAATCCCGGCTTTGCGTAGATCCAAAGAGAACAATTTTCTCTATCGAATGATATAATTATAAGTTAAAATTGAACGGGAAATATTTTCAAAATAGCGTTTTGAAAATGTCCATCAAGAACGCACCTGATTGGCCTATTGCTGACCAATAGAATTTGCCATATATTTATAGTCCCAAGATTTCTCTTTCAAACGGTGCAAACCGCAGGTCTCTATCTTGTTTCTATCAAAAGTTATTAAAAAAACCGTAAGGTGTCTTCTATTTTGAAACGGATAATAGTATTTTATATGCTATATCTATAAGATAAATATTCTACTGTTTTCTTCGTGTAAAAATCTACTATATATTTATATATATACTTATGATATTATTTCAGCAAAATCGTGATATTAGTTAGCGTAAACAGATTGAAACAAATAAATATAGTTTAGTATCGAAAGCAAAATTGATCAATATGTTTTGTTGTAATAATAAACTAATACATGAGAGTTCTTCATAATGAATTAACCATTTAGAATGATTCGTTTGAGCGGAAATTTTCAGAAATGAATGGTTCTCGTTAGATATGCTTCTATTGAAAATTTTATCTCGACATGTGATATTAGACGACTTCCGGCTCAATCATAGCTCATCTGTGACTTCAAAGAAAAGTCCTAAGGATACCATCACTACATGAGATATAGAGCTCTAGATGATTTCATATCAAAGTCAACAGCAATGCATAATTTTTTGTCGAAAACATTAAGAAAAGTTTACGCATACTTGAAACTTTAAAATAAAAAAAACACTATCAGTGATATCTTGAACTCATGGGAGAAGAATTTCATTTTTTTTTTGTCTAATTGAAAACTATACTTTGAGAAAAATGATAAATAAATTTTAACATGATTTATTAAAAAGAAAAGCAGATGAAAGCTTTTAAAATTCGTAAAAGATGAAGTGAACAAACAGTATTTGACTGCTTTGATAGTTTTGTTTTTTGTTCTTTCATATAACGAACATATTTCTTGAATTCGTTTGTTTATAACAATCTTTCAATGAATTGAAAAAATGATTGAATATTTATCGTATCTAATTAATACTTTTTCTTAGTTCTTTGCTTTTCGTTATTCAGTTTTTATGATTTTTCTTGTCAAAAATATATAAATAAACTTCACTTAAGTATATTTGCGTTTAATTCATAATATACGTATTTTAACCGTGAACATTTTTCGAAAAATATGTTAGTCGAGTACAATTTTACAGTACCCATAAGTGTTACTAACACCTCCGAAAATTGAAAAATAAGATAGAATTCGAAACGAATAATATACGAACATTCATGATTGCTTTCGAAAAAATGGATTTTCTAAGAAGGAAACCTTAAAGAAATAAAGAAAATTAACATTCTTTAACTATTTGTTTTTTTTTTTTTCTTTCAATGAAATTCTTCGAAAACTAGTGCTAGTAACAGAATAATCATCTCACATACACTAGTAGTACAATTGAATTAACAATTTATTAATGACAATTGACTGATTAAGTTGCACGCAGAACAATTTTTTGTCAGTCATGAAATATAAAGTTGCATGTGTAAATGAGAAAAAAATGGATATTTTTCTGTTATTTCTTCCAAAACTGAATCATTAAAATTTTGAAGACTAGTATCATTGAGTACTTCTTGTTATCTATCATTTGAAGAATCGAATAACTCAAGTATACGTGTATAAATAGAATCTTCCTGCAAAGAAAGATATGTAAATCTGTTTTCCTAAATAGCAGTAAATTTCGTAACAATTATGGAAATTCAGTAGATAAAAAAAAAAACAATCTTACTTGTTGTGTTTGATCGATTCCTTTGAATTTCACTAAAGTATTCGATGTTTTTGTTACTTTATCTTTTTGTTTTGTATTATCATTTGTCGTTCTAGAACATCGAAACATATCAATTTGCATTCCACTTGCAAAACATTTAGCAAGTCGACAAGACGAACAAACGTGACGATTATGAATATTAATTTCACAATCATCATTAAAATGACATTTGAGATGTCCCTGCAATAAATCTATATAATGAAGAAAAAAGAGTCTATGTTTTTTATGCAATCGAACCTGTTTTTTTTCTGCATGACGTTTGAAGAATACTTTACAAGAAAAACATACGACGACACCAACATAAGAATAATAAGCAGGAGCTCCACATATTTTACATTCAACTGGAATTTTCTTTGGCATTTTTGTAATTGTCACAGATTCAGTTGTATTATTGCAATTTTCAGTAATTTTATCTTCCATTACGAAATTTTTATTTTATTTTTCCTTAAAAACCACAATCGAATTAACTTGAGAAAAACTTATTTTATCCTGTTTACTTTCTAATTCATCTAGATAATGAATGAGAATAAAAGTAATGGCGAAGAAAAAAGACTTTTTTTTTCCTTTCCTTAAAAAGAAAAACAAATATGAATGGCTGTATTTGCAACGAGTCAACGCATGTTAGTTTCAGGTAAAAAGAACACATTTTGCGCAGAAAAGAAAAAATGCAATGAGAATAGAATATCCTTCCGTTTTATCTATTAATAGAGAGTCCGCCACAGGGTCGCCCTAAATTACCATGAAAATATTTTTTTTAAATTTAGTTATCTCAAAGAAAAGTTCTAGTCAAATCCAAAATATTAGCTCATTTGATTTTATCTATGAAAAACACTAACTAAAACAAGTTTAAAGAATCTATTTTGACCGTAAAAAAATCCAAGGGAGAAACAGCTAAGATAACATTTTTTTTTAATTTTCTGTCAACTTTAGATGAAAAAAAGCAATCTAATCAAAAGTATCACCTTTTTTTTGTAATTACGATCGTATACCTCATTCTTTAAGTGTGAAAATCTTCTTTTAATAAACAAATTCTACCGACAGACTCACATTTTATAAGAAAATACTTAAGATCAAGACACAACACGTTCAAGACGGGACGTTTTTGAATAAGTTATTGTGTTTTTATTAAATTAACTTTTTTTTACTTTAAAATTGATTAAAAAACTCAAAAATATCAGCTATTTTTCTCTTGTATAAAACCGTATATTTTTGAAACTCAGAAAGCACTGATTACCTAAAAAAACACTTAGACACATTATTCTCGAGGCATGGGCTCTTCTCTTCCCTTTCTTTTTTACTAATATTTACTGGGTTTTGAGTTAGAAAACAACAATTTGAGTCAAAACTTACATCATGTTTGAAATCAATACTAAAAACCGAGTTGTTTGATTTATCTTTCAAATGTTTCTGAGATTTTTATTATTTTTTCATCGAAAAGATCACCTGTACTCTTCCTCCGGAGTTTGGTCGAGCCATGATGTTTTTGTCGTTTAATTATGTACCATTTTGCTTGTAATAGTATCTTAGAAGGTGTCGTTCTTCGTTCTAGAGGGTAAATAGAGTTTGTGACATATATCATATTTCGATCCACTGGTAAGGGGGAGTAGAAGTGCATTTTTCCAAGAAAACTATAAGTTTTAGCAATATTTGAAAGATGTACGTATCAATCAACTTAGTTTTTGATTTTGATTTCAAATATGAACTCAGTTTTGACTCGATTTATTGTTTTCTAACCAAAATTCGCTAAATATTAGTCAGCAAAATTGGAAAGTCTGTGACGACCTTAGGTAGAAGAGTCTCTAGCACTAATGGAGATACACTTTATTCGGCTTCTTCATATCACTAATCGTATTGTTTACATGTAAAGCACACCCTTATATACGCAAGTAGAAGAAAAGATGAAAGGAAAGAAGATGAGACCAAGGAGAGAATAGATATAGGAGAACACGAGAGTAAGGACAATATATATATAATATACGAATCAATGACAGGGGAGGCTAAACATTATGTATGAAATGCAATCAATTGGGAGCGTTACAAAGGCATACTGTGAGAATAATATGTCTAGATATTTCTCAAGTGATTAGTGCTTTGTGAGTTTAAAAAATATACAGTTCTGTAGCTTTCGAAAAGGACTGTTAAATGTTAAAATTTCGAATTCGATAGTTGATAACATTCATAAATTACTATCCTAACAATAGCACCGTCGTCTTTCATATATCCATGAGGTCGACCCACGATTTTGATCGTACTAAATACGATTACAAGATCAGTTTAAAATAACTTATCTGAAATAGCTCCTTGTGGAGAACACGAATGTGAAGTCAGTTTTTTTATTTTGAAAGATATTGTGTAACCTCTGGGAGTAGGACGAATAGTCACTAGAGAGCATAAGCCACAGTGTGATCCATGATAACTTCGTCCCTGAGCTTTTAACATAAGACTTAAGAAAAGTTCAAAATACCGTCATTCTGGAAGAGGTTATTTCTCGAGTTTTAGACAGTTATTTACTCTGTTTGCTAGATATTCAAATAGGATGGATTTACAGTTTAAACTCTTTTCTGTGTAAGAATAAGTTTCTAAGTTCAAACGATCAAACTATTTGCGAGAGAGTATCAACAGAGACTCTTCCTAGTTGTTTGAACTTGAGTTTTTTTACCTGTAAAACCAAATGACCTAATCTTTAGGATTTGACTAAAGCTTTCGGTTGAAATAAATAAATAGAAACAAAGTTTCTTCCTTCTATTGACAAGGGTAATCCTCTTGCAGACTCTCTTAAAACACTTATTGATTGTTAGTGGTTATGAATTATTGAAAGTTATAACAGAATTATTTGGTCCAAATATTTTATTAACTGTTGAAGATTTAGATGATATTACACCAGAAGTATTTAAATTACGTGATTATTTTCAATTATTTTGTGTTAGAATTTTACAAATGGGTATATATAGATTTTTACCATATTTATTTTAGTATAAATTGGATAAACACTTGTACAAGTTTATAAATTTTCTCATTGAAATATTTTTTTGTACCTTTCATTAGCAAATAATAAAGATTACTTGTTTTTGTTAGTAATTAATCAATAAGTAGATAATACATAACATGTCTTTATACTAGAGGCCTGTATTGGAGTGAACTAAATGTTTACGTAATAAATCATATTTAAGACAACAAGTTTGTTTTGAATTGTAAGTTTTATTCTTTGGTATACACTGTGCAAACTGATATATTTTTCTAAATGAGATTGGTGTCTATTCGAGGCCTATGTCTCCAAAACACATCAGATTGTATAATGAATATCAAAGAATAAAACTCACCATTCAAAAAGAATGTCCATAATGTTTAACCTAATTTACAGGTAGGAAATTTAAAGAGCCCCATACATGCTTGAAAATGGCTCCGATAGAGGTCTCTATTTTATACTCAATAAATCCGTTTCAATTAGATTTATTTAGATTTAGTTATTCATTTATTGATCGATTCGAAAAATTTAATTAATTAAACCTTAATTAGATATTAATAGAAATATTTGCAATTGTATTGAATTATTTTTAAATGATCTTTTTCTTTTTTAAATGTTTGTTTAGACTTAATCTATCATTGAAAATATTTAATTCGAGATAAATAAATACTTTTTCATTAAAAAGAAATATTTTAAAAATTTTGAATTTTTCTTTATTAAAATTTGTAATAAATAATGCAGATGCTCATCAACAACATTTCAATGGTGTACAAAAAAACCATCTAAAAAAGTAAAATATTAATTCATCGAATATATTCGTTGTCCAATAAAAGATGATAACAAACTAATTAATAATTTAAATTTTGATAAAAATGTCGATAAATATAGTTTTTGGTGTGGATGTTTGACATTTCAATGATTCTAAGTCAAGTCCCTTTGGAAATTGATTAGACATGCAGCTTACTGCAAGAAAAACCTGATTTAGTTTAAATGAATGTGTTCTCTGCGTTGAGATCTACAATTTATGGCTCATGCACATTTCAGGATAGAGTGTGAGCAGAGTCAGGATGCATTAATCTTATCTTCACTGTTATCCACATTCCATCCTCATGTTCTATTCTTCATGTTTTATCTGCTGTGTGCCTTGTTTGTGTTTCTCATTTTGTTTCTTTCTCTCATGTACAACTTTTTCATCCCATTGTCGAACGCTTAATATATCTGTTTCTCTCTACTTTCGGTGATTATGCATGATATTGTAACACCTACTCGATGAATGTTACTATTTTTCCATTATAAGCACTTTTGAATGTAACAATCAAGCAAGTTAATCTAAAAAAATGTGACTAGATGAGCAGATTTGCTTTTAGATTTGTTTAGTTTCTTTTATTTTTGACTTATGGGTTATCGATGACATTTTCAGTGGAGTAGAAATCTCAAAATTCGTCTCTTCCGACTTTTCTTGCGATAGGAACTTTTGGTCAATATTAGAGACAGCGACATGCATTTCGTCGCGTATCTGACAACTCAAAATTATCTATTTTCTACTCTTTTATACAAGAATGTCATACACTTCACACTGTTGATGTTGATGATGATATTATTTATTCAGCTACTACACGTGCAATAGCAACAATGAAGACGATAATAAAAATTATAAAATGAAGAAGAGTTTCCTTGGGGAATACTATCTTACTCAAATAGCTGTCTGTATAAGCCATGATCTCAATTGAAGTTTGTCCTTGACTTTGCTGAATAAGTTGGGCGATAGTAGTTCCAGCATTGTTCGAAATACTTAATATTTGATGATCGGTGTTTTCAACTTGAATAGGGATGCGGAAAAACTTGTTTGACCATCCAGAAATCGCACTTGAAGGCACATGAAACATGTGTGAATGAAGAAGATTTTCGTTTGTTCGAAATACATGCCAATTCCAGATGGTCAAACCAATATAGATCACGGTAGAAACGATCGGAAATGTAATATAAGCTTTAACTCCGTTACTCAAACTGCCCAACACAAACGAAACGATGACAACAGCTAATATTAACCATCGATAGAGTAATAGACGACCTCCACGCATTTTTCTTTTTTTGCTAGCATCACCGAATGATTCCCAACACCGAACAGCATGATTATATTGAGATGCATATGTATTCTGAACCCAAGCACGAGTGCCTGTAGCAACGGGACTACCCAAAGTAATATTAGAAGTAACGAAACGACCACTAGCGATACCCACTGACCCATCGCTCACAGTATAAACACGATTATTTAACATGAGAATTGTTTAATGTCGATAGAGCAGAGTTTAAAAAGACATGAGTTGGTTTTTTCTTTCTGAGTTCATTGATAAGATGGTGTATGTAGTTATGCTGATAATATGCTGAAGATATATTATTTGTCGAAGGAAGTAACGTTAAACATTTGTCATAAAGTATGAAATAACAAAAAGAGCACAAATTTCTTTCCAACTTACCGTAAGCGATTGTGCAGCATAGAAGCTTCATCGAGATACAGTTACACATAAACACGTTAGAAAGTACATGGCAGAAAACGCATTAAGATTAAATTTCTGAGAGGCCCAGTCACAGAAGAAGGAATAAGATTACAGAATTGCCTGAATTTTAAATATGCTATAAAGTTCCGCAAACTCGACACTTTCTGACAGTTTCACCTCAATCGGATGAATCCTCATAATATAACTATTGTCGGAAAGTTAAAATATTTTCATTGATATCCTTTCTGTTTTCTTCTGAGCAATTTCAATAATTTGATACAGGAAAATTAACTTTTATGCTTCAACGTTATCAGTTTCAAAGCTTTGGTTTTTCTAGAAATGAAGATGGTATTTTTTTCCAAGAGAAGAAAAAGCGTACTTTTTTTAACTTCAGATGTATTAAGAAGTACATTGAACCACAATGAAAAATTTCTCACAGCTGATATGAGAATTGAACTGACTTTGAAACACGCGCACAAACTGAATAAAATTCCTTTATGTAAAATATTAATAAACAATACGAGATAATTCACTTGTATAAGAGGTCACAAGAAAAAAATGCTGCATTTATTTCGAAAGACAAAAAAAGTAAGACTAACAAGGGAACATTCCCAGGTGCCCGATCGCTTTTCAGTCGGGGATTTGCGCATGTTGTAGGCCTTGATGAATTATACCTACCGTAGAAAAAGTTCGCGCCCCTAGCTTGTTCCTAGTGAGATATCGAGGTTTTAATGAATTTTCTTTATAAGACCCCACATTTGCAGCAAGGTCATATTTTTGAATTTTGATCTGAAACTTTGCCCACATAAACACCTCAACTAGACTAGTTTGCATAAAAGATTTCAGAACTTTTGGACAAAGTCTCTTCGAGATATGAAGCTTTAAACATATAGGTCGTTTTCCATAGATAGCGTATAAAGCATACATTTTTTGAAAGCTTCTTATCTCGGAGAGACATTGTCCAAAAGTTCTGAAATTTTTTATGCAAACTAGTCTAGCTGAGGTGTTTATGTGGACAAAGTTTCAGATCAAAATTCAAAAATATGGTCTTGCTGCAAATGTGGCGTCTTATAGAGAAAATTCATTAAAACTTCGATATCTCACTAGGAACAAGCTAGGGGCGCGAATTTTTTCTATGGTAGATATAATTCATCAAGGCCTACAAGATGCGCAAAGTCCCGACTGAAAAGCGATCGGGCACCTGGGAAGGTTCCCTTGTTAGTTATTATGATATTAGTTAAAGAGTAATGAAATAACATATAAAAATAGAGAATTGTTTTTTCTATCACTACATAAAAAACTAGAAAATTTCTTCAGGTTCATATACGGAATTGAAATCTCACATCGTGTTTATGCTTTTTCTTCTTTCTTCGTATGATCGAGATAAAAGATTGAAAAAGAAACAGAATAATTTATTTCATTAAAGTTTAATGAATTGTAAATTAAGTTGAGAAAAACATATAAATATAATGAATTATGAGACAAATTATATACAAAAAAAACATAAAAATGATGAACAGATATGTTCAATATTATATATAAACTATCAAACGAATATTCTTTTATTTATTTCAATTTTTATTTACTCCTAAGTTAATTTTCGGATAAACCAAATGCGAAATGAGAACAAATTAGCATACCTGAAATGATGAAAAAAATTCATATTTCAAACAAACATTCATGATCATCATTTATATTTGTTTTTAAATATGAATGACGCTAATTTCTGGTTAAAAAATATAGATAATGAGTAATATGTTTTTCGATGTAAATTCTAAATATTAATACTACAGTAGTGGCCAAAAGTTTGATACACCTTTTTTGTTTTGAGTCGTGTATTAAAACTACACATCATTAATTTAATTTAATCATGTGTTTGGTTCGCAGAGATCGAGTACTATATTTATACACCTGTTCAATTCGAAAAACTCTTAAATATGAAATACACTAAGGAAAACAAACTTCAGTAGTAAGAGAGAAATGACAAAAGAAACTACAAAATGATAATAAAAATGTTCGAAAAACTTTTTGTTTTGTAATAGGAATTTGTTTATATAGATTTTATACAGTTTTCGACGGCGCATCTTTTGAAAAAATAATCAGATGTTTTCAGTTTATAAAGCTCAGATTAACGCAAAATATAAAAATCTTCTAAACATTTTCAATATATTAAATAAGACAAGAAGTAGCCGTATCCGGTGTCTTTTTTTTCATTTTAAGTATGGAAAAAAGCTATTAAAATAAGTCAACAGGAATTTTTTATTACAGTTTTTGTAGAGCTTTTCACGGTACATCCTTTTGGAAAAAAAAGATTTTATCATTTATGTATGCAGAGACATTCGCAAATAAACTATGTCGCAACTATTTTGCGACACCCAGTACTATACAGTGGTTAATATTTTGACTGTGATATCATCATTTCTTAATGAAATCCAAAATGTGTTTTTATCAAAATGATCGGCGAAGAAAGCTCTACAAAGTCTAATAAGATGAAGTTTTCTGAATACATTGTGTTTTTGTCTGGTTGACCGACCATGAAAGCATCGCATAACAACAATATCATTTTGTAGTTTTTTTATGCCAATTTTTTTCTTAGTATTGAAGTTTATTTTTCTTATTGTATTTCAAATTTAAGAGTTTTTCGAATTGAACAGGTGTGTACATATAGTACTCGATCTCTGCGAACCAAACACATGATTAAATTAAATTTATGTTGTGTAGTTTTAATACACGACCCAAAACAAAAAAAAGTGGTACCAGACTTTTGGCCGCCACTGTAGATGTAAGTTACTAATAGTTGATATGAATGATAAAAGGGACATAATTGTAGTAGTAAAATTATTTCGCATTCTAAGAGATTAACTCGCCATCTCAGCACTAATATCACTTTCTAGTACCCGCAAATGAATAATGCGTCTTTTCTATGCTTCTATTCCAGAAGAATGTTTAACAAATCAATTCCATCGGTATCTGGTATATTTTTTGGTCAACGTTTTCGTGGGCTTCACATAGCGACCTTAATTTTATTGGTCTATGTACTTCTGCAAGATATTAATGCCAATCCCACGGTGGGTGCAAAGAAAGGTTTGTCAACTTTTTCTTTGAGCTAAACAGTAAACCCTTTTGTATATTAAGGCATTATGGTAAAAAGTTCAAAACTACTATGAGAGAATAAATGCGATGAAAAGTTGAGTTTGTCAGTAACAGAAACGTACAGGAAAGAAATTCCAAAAAAAAGCGCATGAATTATATTTCATAGAAACTATTGAAAACGGTTAGATGGATTGAGCTTGTTTAAGAGAGCTTTGACTGTTACAAAGCCATTTTTGCATTACGCAGTGCAAAATAGTCAGCTCTCAATAAGAATGTGATCTTTTAGCGGTGTTATGATAACTACTGTCTTTTAGTAAGTTTTGAAAATGACTCAGTTGAAACTAACTGATAACATCAGTAAATTATTTATTTTTTGTATCAAAAAGGGTGATTCTTACTATCCGAAATCTCTTATCTCTCACGATGATCAGTTAAATAGTTTTTACGGAGTAATGAAGTTATGCGTTATAAGATTCGAAAGTCAGTAATTGTCTGTTTATTCTACGTACCTGTTTTATACAGAATTCAACGAATAAAGACTTGATTGATAACTATATTCCTTTATGCCGCAATCCTAATGATATGCAACTGAGCTTAGATTTGTAATTGTTCATTAGCGAGTTTTAACTAATCTATTGTACCACAGTTTTAATTTATATATATAGGGTGTCCAGTAAGTAACTCCACAAAGAAAAAGTTGAATATCTTCATTACAACTCGACCAAATGGGCTCATTTTTTTTACCAAGGATAGAGGCATGTTCACATTTCAAATCCATACGGACAAGGTTAGTGGGAACCTTTGCAAAGTATCACTATTGACCTCAACAAGAAAATTTTACTTGTTCAAAGATAGA